CTCAATTCCAGTGGGGAGGAAAAAAAGAAAAGATTCAGGAGGAAAGTTTTAATTTTCTTGGCATTTGCTGCGTGCGGAGCAGCATCGCCTCGGGCCGGGCTCGGTCTGCAAAGCTCAGCCTCTCTCAGGCTCCTGACTTCCAGCTGCAAGGACAAACCCAAGGACGGGGAAGGGACAAGGATGGAAGGGACCTAGCTGAGCCTCTGCCGGGCAACGTTTTGATCTGAATTTGGGGGCAGGGAGGAGATGCCACCCCTGACATCCTTGCTGTCCCCTGTGACCTGTGTCCTGCTCAGCCTGACTGGGATATTCCCCCTTGGAACCGCTCCAAGGCAGAGCAGAATCACATCCTGGTTATTCCCTTGGCCAAGAGGAGCTCTGTGCTTCCAAACCCCGTGCTCCTGTCCGGATTCAGCTCTACCTGCAAGATCCCTCGTTAGCTGCCAAATGCCCTTGGTATAAATGGTTATAATTAAATGTTGTTATATTAAATATGGTTCACTATATAAAATGCTTAGTTTAATGTAAAAGCACACGCTGATGCTGCAGCCAGCCACCACCCCATATTCGGGTTCCACCTAAGCCAAACAAAGTCTCATTTAAACCTTCAGGCTGATACATCTGAAAGCCACAGTTCCTGTAACTTCATCAGCAAGATCATCCACACCTGGACCTGGATTGTTTGGACATGGCCTAGAGAAAAGAACTTTATGAATATGGGGAACTCTGAATGGAAAGAATAGGCAGATGGCTGAAATCCTCGCCCCAGGTGGAAAATTTCCTGTAAGAACCGTGGGATCTGAGAGGGTGGTGTTATAAATGAAAACTTGTCCAGCCAAATTGATATGAAAAAATAAAATATTTATTTGCAATCCAATTCTATCTAGCCAGCCACAAGGAAAGAACAGAGCCGAGCCCGGGGTCGGCACCAGGAGTCAGCCTCAGCAGAGGATTTCCTCCATGCCCACACCTCCATCCTGGCACCAGCGGTTTTTATAGGGAAAATTCCACCTGAGGCCAAGATTTCGGCAGTCAGTCTTTTCTTCTATTCAGAGTCCATGGGTTAATGAGATTTTCTTTTTGGTGATGAAGAAGAACAATTCAGTGTCAGGAGCTGGTGAATCCCTTGATGGAGTTTACGGAACGCTGCATTCACACGGATCTGCCCCAGGATTTCCATGATTTCCATGATTTCCATGATTTCCATCTCCGGTTGTTTATGTGATGTATCTCCCCAGCCATGGCCCATCCCCATCTCCTGCCCAGCCACATCCTTTTACTCGTAAATCGGGTTTTAACACACACCAGGTTTGGGTCACTCCTAATACAAACGTGTACACTCCAACAAATATTCAATATTACATCTATCATACTGGAAATGGCACGAATTATATCTATTACACATAACAGTGGTGTGGGTGTCCAGGGGAACCTCTGCTCTGAGACATCCTGTCGGTCACTCACCCAGCGCCGATCCCAGCTCGGCACTGCCTTTTTCCTTCTGGCTGGTGAGATAGATTTTAATCATAAATAAAATTCTTTTTATTTCATTTTTAATTTGGCTGGACAAATTTTCATGTATAACACTCCTGTTTGCTAAAGCTCCGGGCTGCTGAGCACCTCAGGAACATTTTCTGTGCGGGGTAGCACGGAGGTACCATCCTCTGGGATTTTCCGGGATTGTGCCGTTGTGTGTAGGTGAAACGCTTTCCTCTGCACGGTGCGTGGTATTAAATTGCTGTTTTTTCCTCCCAGCTCCAATCAGTGAGAATGAGGGTGGCTGTGCTGTGAGCAGCCCGACTTTGGTGCTCAGTGACCCAAGCCGTGTCCGTTTTCCAGCTGAATTATCTGCTCTGCAAAACGCTGAGCTGGTCCCGGGCTCAGCATCACCCGGCTGGGCTGAGGTGATGCTGCAGCTCTTTGTCCTTGGGCTGTGAGCAGAGAAGGGAAATGTCCCGGCTGTGAAAAACACCAATCACTTGTTTGTTTGTTAAAAACCCTAAAAGTTTATTAGTAATAAAAAAATAGTGATAAAATTAGAGCAAGAAAAAATCGGACAATGAGGATTAGGACATACGAGACAATAAAAAGCAAAGAATTTCAGATGTCTGGATGTTTTTGGGCACTGAGCTGCCAAAACCTCGCCTTGTGAACAAAAGAACAACCCTTAAAATCAACACCTGTTGCATATTCATATATCTCATACATGGTGCATAAATACCTTGCAAATTAAGAATTTTTCTGGTTTTTGTCAATTCCTTCCCCTGAATCCTGGTGATTCCATAAAGACAGAGAGGAGGTGGAAGGATGTTTGTCTGTTCTGATAAGGAGCTGTGACTCTTTATGTGCCCTGTCGCTGTTATCTCTGTGCAAAGAGTTTCTTGATTATCTCATCCCTTTCTTGATCTAGAAAAAAATACCTTACATCACAGTTTCTATTTTAATATTTTGTTGTAACCTAAAACTACATTTAACACACTACTTAAAAAGGATTAATACAGTATTACAAAATAACCCTCTATAATACATAGAGTATCCAATTTAATATTTGCGAGGAGCCAGTGATAAAATCTGCATTTTTCACACCGGCGAAGCAGAGCCGGGCTCTTACTCAGGAGTTATGGGGGAAGAGCCAGGCTGTGCTGGGCCAGGCTGTGCATCCCCTGCCCGGAGCCCCTCACAGCACCTGGCCTCTCCTCGCCCTTCTCTCCTTCCCCTTTTCCTCTGGGCAGTGAATTTATCTCCGGGAAGGATTTTCCTCTCTCCCTGGCCGAGCCACAGCTCCTGGAACGCTGCAGGGTCAGGAAAGGGCAGGAGGAGCTGCTGGATCCCACCTGGAGGAGGCTCCGAGGCAGGGGTGGGTGGTTTTTGGGACACCCGAGGCAGGGATGGATGAGGCAGGGATGGATGTTTTAGGCACCCTCAAGGCAGGGATAATGGTTTTTGGTGCTCCCTAGGCAGGGGTGGATGGTTTTTGGTGCTCCTAAGGCAGGGATGGATGAGGCAGGGATGGATGTTTTTGGCACCCTCAAGGCAGGGATAATGGTTTTTGGTGCTCCCAAGGCAGGGGTGGATGGTTTTTGGTGCTCCTAAGGCAGGGATGGATGAGGCAGGGGTGGGTGATTTTTGGGACACCCAAGGCAGGGGTGGATGGTTTTTGGTGCTCCTGAGGCAGGGGTGGATATTTTTGGCAGGGATGAGTGGTTTTGGCAGGGATGGGTGATTTTTGGTGCTCCGGAGGCAGGGATGGATGAGGCAGGGATGGATGTTTTTGGCACCCTCAAGGCAGGGATAATGGTTTTTGGTGCTCCCTAGGCAGGGGTGGATGAGGCAGGGATGGGTGTTTTTGGCACCCTCAAGGCAGGGATAATGGTTTTTGGTGCTCCCTAGGCAGGGATTGATGTTTTTGGTGCTCCCTATGCAGGGATGGATGGTTTTTTGCAGGGATGGGTGTTTTTTGGTGCTCCTCAGGCAGGGGTGGATAGTTTTGGCAGGCATGAATGTTTTTGGTACTCCCTAGGCAGGGTTAGATGGTTTTTGGTGCTCCTCAGGCAGAGGTGGATGTTTTTCACAGGAATGGGTAATTTGTGGTGCTCCCGAGGCAGGGGAGAGGCGTTTTTTGTGCTCCCTAGGCAGGGATGAATGAGGCAGGGATGGATGTTTTTTGCAGGGGTGGATGTTTTTGGCACTCTCGAGGCAGGGATGATGGATTTTGGTGCTCCCTAGGCAGGAATGGATGGATGAGGCAGGGATCGATGTTTTTGGTGCTCCCTAGGCAGGGATGGATGGTTTTTGGTACTCCCTAGGCAGGGATGGGAGTTTTTGGTGCTCCCGAGGTGGAGATGACTGTTTTTTGTGCCCCCAAGGCAGGGATGGATGTTTTTTGTGCCCCCGAGGCAGGGATGGACGTTTTTTGGTGCTCCTGAGGCAGGGATGGATGTTTTTGGTGCTCCCTAGCAGGGGTGGGTGTTTTTTGGTGCTACTGAGGCACCGAGGCAGGGAGAATAAAGGAGATAATGAGGTGATTTCCCTGGTTAGAGATAAGAAAAATCCCTAGAAGTGTTGGGAAGGACGGAGGGAGCTGTGAAATTCCTCCTGCAAGGTGTCAGAGCCAGCAGGAGCATCCCTTGGCCTGTCAGGAGCTCGGGAAGGTTTTTGTTCCATGTGTTCCCTGCTCTGCCCAGGTACCACCCCCTCCCTTTTTTATTAATGTCAGAAGACGTTTCCAGCCCTGCAGGGCACAGGCAGCATTTCCCAGCTGGGCTCGTTATTAATTCAGCCCCAAAATTTCAATTCCAGCCAGCCCCAGGTGAGGCTTCTGCTCCAGCAGGGCCCCCAGTAACAACCTCTGCTGCCTCATTTCCTCTTTTTATCTGTAATAAATAGAATAAAATTATAAATAATAAAATAATCCCAGGTATTTGGATTAAAATAAGCGTGGAAAAATTGAGCTCTGCCTGTCTGGGATATTTCCCAATGGACCCGGCAGCTGTTTAGGAAAATGAACCGGGGTGTAACATCTTCAAGGAGATCAGGGGGAAATGCACTTTATAAAGAGCAGCATCCTTTTTTTGGGTGTCAAGCTTTTGCTGTGAGCTCTGCCAACTCTGGAGCAGGGCTTTACTGAGCCTGGTGTTGGCAGAGAGGGAGAGCGAAACACAAACCACCGGGCAGGGCAGGGCACGGGAAGGAAAGCGCAGCACCGTCCCCGCAGTCAACATTCGAACTGACTTTCCCCGGAGCCGAACGGCGAAGTTCTCTCCCCAGGAATGTGGCATGTGGAATTCAGCGCTGTCACAGCCCCTTAAACGGGCCTGATGGTGACAAATCCTTTCAGGAACGCTTGTCGCTCCTCGGCGAGTTTGTCAATTGTCACTCGCAGCTCAAGGTACTTTTTCTTGCCTTGCATTTTAATGTTGTTGGTGTTTCCACAAGCCCGGATCTCTGCTCCTGCTCGCTCCCGGCTCCCTGAAGCCGACAGGAGCCCGTGATAATGAGCAGTAAATAATTAGTAGCCGTGGGCAAGTTCTCCTGAGCAGGAGCCCGAACGCTCCAGGTAATGAGGGGGGAATTCAGCTGCACATCCAGCGAGTGGGGCTGGGGAACCCCCGCGTCCTGCTCTGCGAGGTGTTTGTCACCCACAAACGGGCTGCCATTTCTCAGAGGAGCTCAGCTGCTAATTAGGACCTTTAAAAATCGGATTTTTTAGCCCAAGACGTGCCAGCAGCTCGCAGACCTCACAGCAGTGCTTCAGGTGTTTCTCAGTGCTGATTCTGGAGGGGAATTCTTGGGTCTGGGCTTTGGGAAGGGCTTTAAGGTCAGTTTGTGTCCCAGGTGAGGCTTCAGGATCTGTATCTTGAGGACGGGGGATCAAAGGGCAGCTGTGCTGCTCCCAGGGGAAAATGCTCCGGTGGGGAGGGCAATATTTCTAGTTTTCTTCTTTTAATTTCTTTTTTTTTTTTTTTTTTTTTTTTTTTTTTTTTTTTTTTTTTTTTTTTTTTTTTTTTTTTTTTTTTTCCCAGGTTTTACTTCACCGGTGTTGATTTAGGGCTCTGTATTGGAACTTGCAATCAGCACGGGGCTCTTTGCTCTATTTGATGGGAATATTTGATTTTACTCCACTCAGAGCTAAATTAGCTGCAAAGCCTCTCCTCCCCATCCCGAGCGTGGTCCTGGAGCTGAGCTCAGCCCGGTGAGCAGAGCTCTGAGGGCACAGAGGAATTCTTTTTGCTGTGGGAATTTTGTCCCGGCCCTGCCGCTCTCCCGCGTTCCTGGAAAGTCTTGAATAATCAAATGGGTCATTTCTGCTCGGCTGCCGTAATTTATTGTCCCACCGAATCCAGATCTTCTGAATGCTAATGGAAAAAACCCCATCAGCCGGGCTGGTGCCATTCTGCTTTATGACCTTATTAAATTTACACTTTCCTATCATGTGCTGACAATTACTGGAGGACAGGCCAGGGCTCCTGCCACCAGCACTCAGCGCTGTCAGCGCCAGGCGCGGGAGATTTACAGCCCTGAGCGGTCCTGAGAGACATTTTCACACTGCTGACAGGATTATATAACAAGGGAAAAGGCCATTAACAAATAAAGGAAGGAGCGGCGGGGAGAGGGCAGCTGGAGAATGGGGCGGTAAATCCCGGCGCTGGCAGCTGCTGATAAAATCACCCGGTGGGATGAGGGAGGGGGAGGATGGAGGGGGACGATGGGGTGGGATGATGGAGGGGGATGATGGAGTGGGACAGTGGAATGGGATGGTGGAGGGGGATGATGGAATGGGATG